GTGGTTTGTTTGTTTTATACCAGGTACTACTATTATCCAGGATGTATTGTCAATTTTCCCAGTAGCAATACAGGCTAAGTACTGTGTTTTCACTCTCACTTTACTAAATAAAGTTTATGAGTCATGCAAAAGATAAGGTCAAGTGTTCAAGGTCACTAAACTATAATTAGCGGTGGGCTATGTTTCAAACTCAGACAACCAAACTGTTGTTCAAGCTTCTAAGCACTACAATTCACTGAATCTGCAAAACAATTCAAAGCATGGGTCTCTTTCTAGTAAAGTCTAAACAAGGGTCTCGTTGCATTCCATACCACTTTCTAAATCATCTCCTAATTACCTCTCTCATCACAAAGGTCTTCTTACTATATTCAAATTGTTCCTTTTCAACTCTTAAGTCTCCTTTTTGTAAATTTAGCTGTCACATGAGAAAAAAATATCGTATTTGTTTTTCTGAGTAGCTGGTTTTGTTTAACATGAGGATCTCATGCAAATGGCATAATTGATTTTTTTTTCTTTTGGATAGAATGAAACTCCATTGTGTGTGTGTGTGTGTGACATTTTGTTTATCTTTTTTTTTCTTGGTCCCAGACTGGGACTCAAACTCTGTACCTGATATTTTTGCTCATTACCTAGTCCTTTACCAACTGAGCAACACCTCCAATACCTTTATCCATTAATTTGTTGATGACAGGCTGATTCTATAACTTGCCTATTGTGAATGTACAATGAATGTGGATTTTCCTACATCTATATTGTATGCATTCCTTTGTTTATATGCCCACAAGTGGTATAGCTGGATCAGATGGTAGTTCTATTTTTAGCTTTTCGAGGAACTTACATGTTGATTACCATAGTGGCTGGACTAATTAATATTTCTAACAAAATATGTAAAGGTACCTTTTCCCACACTCCAGATCCTCACCCACCCCATATTTGTTGCTGATTGTTTTCTTGTTGGCAAGTCTGCATTCTGACTGGGTAACATGCAATCACAACATTATTTTGATTTGCATTTCCTTGATAGCTAGAGATGTTGATCATTCTTGCATGCATTTATTGGCCATTTGTAATTTTTGTAAGGACTATCTGTCCAATTCATTGCCCACATGCTGGCTGAATTCTATATTTTCTACTGTCTAGGGTTTTTTTTTTAGTTCTTTATATATTCTGGATATTAAACCTTTGCCAGATGAATAGCTGGGAAAGACTTTTCTCCCATATTTTTGGCTTCACCAGTTTTCTGGGCTATTTTCTTTTTTTTTTTTTAATAATTTAGGCTATTTTCTTTACTTTGCAAAAAGCCTTATAATTTTTTAATTTGAAGCAATCGCATTTGTCTTTTTCTTTTTCTTTTTTTTTGTTGGTCCTGTGACTCGAACTATGATCCTGGTTGCTGTCTCTGAGCCTCTTTTTGCTCAAAGCTAGCATTTTACCACTTGAGCCACAAAATATTTGGGTTTCTTTTTTTATTCTATTTTGTGTTTCTGAGTAGTTCATTGGGGATAAGAGTCTCATGTACTACTCTGTCTGGGCTAGGTTCGAACTGCTATGCTCAGATCTCAGCCTCCTAAGTAACTAGGCTTGAGCCACAAGTGTCTGGTTCTTTTATTTGTCAATTCTTAGCAAATCTAATTTTATTGAAAAAAAATTTGTGACAGATAAATTTGGGCCTTCTTTCTCTTTGGCTTAAGATTCTATCAAGATTCCACAGGGACAGATGTTGAGAAATCTAGAAACTACAGTTTTACGCTGATGTGTGGCTTGTTGTATCCATGGATTTTAACACAAATTTTATGTCTCACTTTATATAAGAGTATGCTGATTAACTCCATCTCGGTAACCAAATGTATAGAGAAGTACTCATCCACATCTTGGTAAATAAATGCCCAGCTTCATGTATGCCAAGGAAAACAATGCTCATTGTAATTTAACAACCCACCCTCTGATCTTTCCATGATAGGGAGATAATTGCAGATCTAACATGGTATCTATTGCTGAGAGAAAAAATTAGTAAAGATAAGCCAATAGGTCAAGTAATTTATGTAAATTATACTCATAAATATTAAAATATAACTGAATTTTAAAGCAAAGCATATAGAAAATAAATCCAACAGGCAGTTACTTAAATACTTGGAAATTATCACTGCTGTAACTTTAGCAAATAGTACTGTAGCAAAAAGATTTCATTAAGCTACAAGGCTCAGAACAATGAATGAATACATTATTACAAATTCTTGGTTTACTTTTCCTTCCATTTAAAATCAGATATCATACATAAGCAGACTTACCCAGAATACAAAGTCTTTAAATTCTTAAAGAATTTTTCAACATATTTTGTAAAAGAAGACATCCTAATTTGAAGCATTCTCTTCTAAACTTTTCATAATTTTAATTCCAATGAGCAATACACCCCACAAAATTCTCATATCATTTACATTCCAACTTTATAATTCTTTAACATTTCCATGTTATCTTCCTCTTTTAAAAAACACAGTTTAATATTTTTGTGTGTGTGCTGAAATGGGGCCTGAATTTAGGACCTTGAGCTCATTTTATTTTTTTTCTAATGACTGGAATTCCACCATTTGAGCTATGTATGTAGCTCCAGTTAAATATTTCTTAATTGAAATGCTTGAGACCAACAGTGTTTGTGATATCTGGGTTTCTTTTTTTATTCTATTTTGGAGAATTTGTATATACATTGTATTTATTTGTACTTTTATTTTGGAGTATTTGCATATACATAATACATAATATATTTGGACAAGATCTAAATCTAAACATAAAAGTATTTTTTCATGTATGTGTTATGATTTTATACAGTATTTTCAGTGCACCTGTATTTTGATTGAAACTACCAATTCAGTATCAAATGCTGTCATTCAAAAAGTATCAGGTTTTGCCTTCTTAATTTCAGATTTTCTGGACAAAGTTGCTTGTCCTGCACCTGATTTCTCCCTCCACAGGTCATATGTCTGTGCCATGCTTACCTCCCTCTCTCATACCCCATCTTCTCAGAGAAAGTTGGATCCCTCCTTGGTCAGGCTAATGATATTCTTTCTTTAGCTTTACCCCTCCCGGCATCCAGACTCACTCTGTCCTTTCTCTAAACTTTTACTTCATCATGAGCCCTGTCTAACTTATTTTCCTTTCTCCATTGTACACAAGATTACACCTGTTCATGAGAGAATATTTGTTTCAAATCAATTTAATTCAATGAATGAATAAATGTACTTGAAGCAGCTTAAGCCACAGAATGAGTAGGATGATTTCATTTGAATCATAAAATTTAAAAATGTAAGGTTGGGCATTAAAGATATTTGAGAATTGAAAAATAATGACATTTGTATATCTTCTTGACTGCAAGATACTATATTCTTGCATACTTTGTCAAAATATCACACCTGAAAACTACTATACAAGTCAAACTTACATATAATTTGGAATCCGTTATCCAATTTATGTGTCAGGAAAACAACTAACATTTACTCTTGTTAGTTCGCTATTAAGAAAACAAAATGAAACTATTAGGGCAAGAACAGGAGCCATTAGTAATGATTCTCCAAAGAAAACTCAGTGAGAGCAGATGAATGCTTCCCTAGGGAAGCAGAAGTCCCACGGGGCACTGCAGGATAGGCCCAAGGGCAAAAGTAAAGTATTTTCCATAGAATTTTTCTGAGGAAGGCACAGTAGCAACTTTCATATATTGTAAGTATGTGAGGAGAAATGAAAAAAGAGAAGAAAATAAGAAATATTCTGGGAAGTGGTGCTGTGGCTCAAGTCTCAAGTGGTAACGCTCTAGACATGAGCTGAAGAGCTCAGAGAGAATGCTTAGGCCCAGAGTGAAAGCCCCATGACAGATGCCCCCCCCCAAAATGAATCAAATAAAATATTCTGTTGTATATAAAGAAATATTGTAGTTATCAAGTCCTGTGCTTTCCATGGCATTTAAGAAATTCATGTAATGTTGGGCAATGTTGGCTCATGCCTGCCTGTAATCCTAGCTACTCAGGAGGCTGAGATTTGAGGATCATGATTAGAAGCCAGCCTGGGCAGGAAAGTCCATGAGACTCTTATCACCAATTCAACACTTTGAGCTGTCGCTCAAAGTGGTAGAGTGCCAGACTTGAGCAAAATAGCTCAAGGACATCCCCATAATTGACAAAAAAGAAAAAAAAAAAGAAAAGGAGAAAGAAATTCACACAAATGTCTCTATCTTTTCTTTATATTGTGCTGTTGCTTCTTTTCTCTTAAAAAACTGAAAGTCTTAGAACATGACATTGTTTAGTTTTACAAGCCACAAAAGTAACAGTCTTACTTCTCCAGCTGATCCAGGTTTCCACACTGTCAAAGACATTTTGGCATAGAAAACCCAAATTGCTATGTTAAAACAAAACAAAACAACCAAACAAACAGCAATACACCAACAAAACAAAAAGATCAGTTGAATCAAAATATACATGACTCCTTATTATTTATCTACTTTTCTTTGTCTACTTCATTATTTATCTATTTTTGTGTAAGAACACAGTGAGCTTTCTAGGAAATGCTTTTTCAGTACCTTTAGCCCAAAGATAGGGATGGATTTCCCATTTTGTTTTCTCCATTTAAACTTAATCCTTTTTCTTATGCTTGATGTTTAAAAAAATGTAACAGCTAATTCTTAGATTCATATTGTTTCCTATTTACTCCTAAATACTAATACACAGACCTTTTGTAAAAAAAAATGTATCTTTCCATATGATTCCTCTACTGAAGGATTTATCATGCAGCCTCTTCATGGTGCACAAACTCCCATGCCTTAGGCTTATATAAGTACTGGCTTAGATTTACTTATATTCTTCCCAAGAGAAAAGCCCACAAATTTAGATGCTTGTCGTGAGGCTTACACTCTTCATTAACACCATCTTATTGGCTGTTCTCTCACTTTGCTCAGCAATGTGCTGAATCTTCTTTCCAACTAGTGCATAATTTATACTGTCACTTTTTCTGCTTCTCAGTCACGTCAGATGATGGTCGTTCTATGGATTTTGGCTGTCGGGTTGATATTCAAGACAAAGGATTCTACACAGAGAATTTTCATTCCGCAGCATGGGTTTTCCGAGGGGATGATGGGAATCCTGAAGATAGTCCTAGATGTCTGAGTAAAAAACCACGACCAACAGCGGGTAAGGATGCTACAGTTACTGTAAAATAGATATACAAGTCTCTGAAACTGTTTACCTCTAGTTAGTACTAGGTGGAGAGTTTGGGGAACTGAATTTTATGTATGCAACATTACACTCACACAAGCACAGATTTATATATGTATGTATGTAAACACACACATAGTATATTTCTTTTGTTTGCAATACTGAAATTTGAAGTCACAGGCCTTATGCTTTCAAGGCAGGTGCTCTACCACTTGATCCATCCCCCCAGCCCCATAGAATATGTTTCTTAATATCATGAAGATATCTGAAACCATTAAAATGAAAACTCTTAAAAGGTACTCCAACAGGATAATAATTCCAAAATTAGAAAAAAGATTGATGTAAACAGAATGAAGAGGAGTTGTCATCCTACCAGTAAAAAAAAATACTAATTTAAAAGAATATACCTTATGAGGAAAAAAACAAATATGTCATATTATCCTGACTGCTCTAGATAACTATTTTATTGTTTCTGCATTATCTTTTTATTATGCATACTTCTAATCTTATTTTTAATATATAAAATATGTATATGATATGTATATTGATTTTGATATATGTAACATTATATTGATTTTGCAGTATGTAATTTTATATGCTTCTGATATGTATTTATATAGAGTTCAGTACATGTTATTTTATAGCCAGCTTTTTTTTTTTTTTTGGTCATGGGGCCTGAACTCTGGGCCTGGGCACTATCCCTCAGCTCTTCAGCTCAAGGCTATGCTCTACCACTTGAACCACAGTGCTATTTCTGGCTTTTTCTGCTTATGTGGTGCTGAGGAATCGAACCCAGGGCCTCATGCATGCAAGGCAAGCACTCTACCACTGAGCTACCTTCCCAGCCTCGATAGCCAGCTTTTTATTTATAAAAATACAAGCACATACTAATATACCTTTACTTAGTAAAGTAATTATAAGATTTGAAAACTTCACTAGTATTTTAAGGTTAATGTTCCATGATATTTCTATGAGAGCAGTGTTAGTAAGCTAAAAATTAATTGCTTATGACTTAAAATTATAAGAATAACAATTCTAGCATGTGAAAGATTTATATTAGTCTCAAACCAGGTGCCAAGCTCAACTGGATTCAAACTCAAAATCTTAGCTACTCAGGTGGTTGACATCTGAGAATCAAAGTTCAAGCCAGTCCAAGCAGTCAAATCCAAGAGACTCTGACCTCAATTTAACCAGCAAAAAGCTGGGACTGGAGGTGTGGCTTAATGACCTCAATTTAACCAGCAAAAAGTTGGGACTGGAGGTGTGGCTTAATGGTAGAGAACTAGCCTTGAACAAAATAGCTAAGCAAGAATCCAAGGCCCTGAGTTCAAGCCCTAACACCAACAAACACACAAAATACTTGGTTTAAGTCTTTGTTATATAATTTAAGAAATAGAGCTTTTGTGTGTTTTTAACTTATGGATACAAATAATCTTGATAAATAAACAATTTCATTCAACAAATCCATGCTCAAAGTATTGAAAGATAGTTGCTAAGATTAGACAGAAGTGCGCAGATTGCAAGTATGGCAAGTTCTATCAAGACACATATTAGAGTTTAAGCATATTAAGTACAAGCATCAGAATATGCTCAGTTTCAACTTATCTCAAATTATGTAGAAAAATGCAATTATTGTAACATATACCAGTTGTTTTATTCAGAGTTAAATAGAAGTTTTCTTAGTTCCTTTCTTATAAATATTATGAAATTCAAGAAATTAATAAGGGAATATTGTAAGTCTAAGTAGTTTCTATGCATAAGAAACCATGAGTTTTATATTTCCACACTTAGAATATTTATTTACATCATAATATACTCAAATTAAGTTTAATTATCCATCAATAAATAAGGACAGCATTGTACTCTCATCCTTAAAACATTGAGATTAGGGGTTTTGAAATTTATCATAGTTTGTGAGCCTTAAAGTTTGAGTTAAAAAAGATAAATAAACTTGATAGAACTGCTATGCATTGAGCCTATAGATAACAATAGTCTGTTGCACAGTTTAAAATGTTTTTGCAAGAGTAAATCTCATATCATATTTCAGGCTAAAATTTTTTTTCAAAAAGAAGGAAAACAACAGCAATAAAAGATTAATGATAAACATATAGATGTAGCCTCGAAAAATACATTTTCTATACTTAAGTTTTGAATAATGAAATAGAACAAGAATCTAGAATGGAAAGATATTTTTAGGGTCAGGAGCTTTATTAGTTCATTGATGTATCCAAGACACTTAGAACAGTACCTGTTTCATCATAAGAAACTAATACTTAATTGTTGAATAAATGATTGAGGACAAGATAATAAGTACTACTGAATAAATAACTAGCTGTTAATCTCCACCCTGACATACAATATCATAAATAATAAAAAAATATAAAGGGCTATTTCTGCCCATCTTGACTAATTTTGGCTTCCTCAATTACTTTTCTTAATTTTTATAAAACTTTGCTTAATGTTAACTAACATATAAATAAATACTCAAATGTATAACTATATATTCATACATAATTACACAGAAATTATATACAATTTATATAATACACTTGCCAAATCAACAAGAATTAAATGTTTCCTGTGGAAATCTAAGAACATAAAGATTAATAAAATACAATTCTTGTCACATTACTGTAGTCAAAACCTAGCATACAATTTCTATGAAAAATAAAATTGAAATGACTAATATTGTTAATAGTCATTCAAAAACAAGAATTTTACTCAATTTGGTGTCATTTACATTGGAAAAATTCAAATAGTTCTCTTTTGTGTGTATAAATATATTTACATACTCAGTGGATATACATATATTCATGTATTTGTGTATATGGGTATCGATGTGAAAGTGTTATAATTTTACAAATGAATTTCATGATACTATTAATTGTATGAAACCAAGTTCAAAACTGTGATCCATGTCCTTTCTTATTGCTGTAAAAACTTCAAGTATGATATACAGTCAATGCATGCATTCTTGACTATGGTATAAAGAACAATAACCAAAAAGAAAAAAGAAAAAAAAGAAACTTGGAGGAAAAGTGAGCTAAAGCAAATGTACCCTTTTTAAACTAAAAATTTTACTAACTGAATACCAGATACTATTATCTGCTAGAATGTATTTTGTGAAGATAAATTTGGTATTGTATAAAGAAAAATTCCAATCCTTAATTTCCTAAGGATTCTCTTGAGTTGGAGAAACAGTCAAGTAAAGGCTCCATCACTACAAAGGTGTATATGAGTTATATGATGTTTATGGAAATATTTGCTCTTCATTTGAATTTTTACAACCAGCAATATGATTCTAAGAAAGTGTTATCCGTGGGATAAATTACTTGATACTATACCCTATGGTCTCTGAAACAACAAAAGTATTCATTTCTAGTTTTTAAGCAGCTGTGTGGCACTTATAGATTATCCACTAGAGAGTGTCAAGGGGAAACAGGACTATAAATCCTTAAAATCTGAGAAAATTGTGTTCAGAATGGGAGGGAAACATGTTGCAAAACATTTTGATTGTGTTTCTCCCCCAGGAGAGCTCTACAGTTGAGCCTACCCGTTAAAGACTTTATTGAATTGTTTATTCTTTCATAACATTGTTGACATTCAATTTGTCTGATTGAAAAAACAAAACCAAAGAAATACAACCTCGAAAACAAAAGCTATCTTAGCAGTCCCAAGCAATAAAAAACAAACAAAACAGCAAACATGATTTGATTTGAATCAACACAGTAAAAATATTCTGATAAACAAATATCTGTTGGGTAATCAATCTGTCAAAAGCAGAAGATAATATCAAGAGAAACCTAGAGGGAGCAAGAAGTCTTGACAAGTAGAGATATTAGAAATTATTTTTCAGCAGTCAGAAATGGGATTTCTGGTTTTCTTTATGTCGTGATTAGCTGCCAGCCTATAACAAACGGCTGAAATATTAATTCCAAAGTCCTTAAATTTCCCTGTCTGCCCCTTAAATTCTGATACCCAGTAAGTGGCAGACCAGCCATACCAAAAAAGTTTGTATTAACAAACTGGAAAAATTCTTCTAGAAGAATAGAAAGAGGACTCAGATTTTAGAGTTGGAATACATCATACATAGTGGGTTTTTTCCCCAAATAATAATAGCATAATAATAATAATAATAATGTAATGTATTTTCTTCACATATTTTATTAAGAAAAACATATCTTCAGGAACTCACAAAAAGAAATTTCATCCTTCCTTTCAAATATTTGCCAAATTTGCAGCTAATATCTACTGCATCAACTCCAGGTGAAGAAGACCTCTTTATCTGATTTTGCTATAGTCCCTATATCTAAGAAAACAACTAGGGACATATTAAGTACCAAATAAATGCTTGTGAATGCATGACTTCTGCAATCAGACTGAAAATGACCCTTAATGAAGATTAATATCTGTTTGTTTTGCCAGAATTTTTTGCTCACTAGCTAAAGGAGTTGACTCATTTCTTATCATGTTTGAGTAGATGGATTTACCTGTGTAATTTCTGCCATTCTTCATCGGACATTTAATTAGAAAAGTATTGATTTACCTTATAAAATCATGTAGAAATTTTAGTAAAAGACAAGTGATCTTACAAATGCCTCAGTTTTCATGTATGGCAAAATGAGAAGGAATGGAGAGAAGAGAAAAGGGGAAGGGAGGAGGAGGAGGAGGAGGAGGAAGAGGA